CACAGCTTCGACTTAGAACACGTGCGAATACTAGGCCATTCGGATGACCTAATCTCACGCCTGCTGCAAGAAGCATGGTACTCGCGCGCGGACTCTATTAATAGGCATATCGATCTTCCGGATGCCTTTCTCGCGTTGCGCGAGCAATGGCAGGGTTCAAGGTCACTCGTGGCGGAGCTCAACGTCACCCCGACAGAACTGACTTAATCACGCAGTGAGCTGTACGTTTTCCATCGCTTGACAATGGGCTCGAGTGAGAGTCCGAAGCGTCGGGCAAATAAAATACTGGTCCCAGAGAACCTTTTCCGCCTTCTAATCATTACATTATTGAAATAAATATTCCTGTCTTTACTACGTTTATAAACTTCATTTTTTAAATTTACGTTTCCTTTCCCTATATTGCCCACACTGCATAACTTTTATTACACCGGGTCCCGTATTACAGAAGGATAGGGTTTTCGTGTGCTGATCTGGGAGATAAAGTAGACATCAACCGACTAACCTATTATGAGTACCTTATTGGAAAATATTATGGATTACTTCAAGGGAAAGTGGGAAAGACCAGTTCTTGCTTACTTGACAGCATTAGCCAGCCATGTCTTAAAAATTATGCCGTATAATTTTTACATGTTAGTCCAGATCCAGTTGAGCTTAAGGCATAACATCCCGCCGGTAGCTAAGCCATGGGGACTAAAACCTGAATATTAACTTCAGAACTGAGTACGTTTACTTGGTACGGATGTACTCAGGCCTTGGCGACAGGCCCTTAATGATGTCACCCTTCATGCGTGACGATTTGCGGCAGCGGATCTGTAGAGGTCAACCCATCATCCTAGCCAGAAACAGCACCGAAGATCGAAGCTGACAGTGACTAGGTTAGGAGTTGCGAGGAGTCAATAGTCCCCCCTTCGGGAAGGCTATACTGCAGTCTGACTGTCGTAGTTAGATCATTGCCAACTGTCACCAGAAGTGTCTTACACTGAAGGGCGAAGTTCCACTTGTTTTTGTATTCTTTACCTTTCTAGGCAACTGACCTCAATTAAAAGCACAGGCAAGGCAAATGCCAAGTGATGATAACAACTCCCCTAGAACGCGACTGTCAGCCAAAAGGAAATTGGGGTGGTGCGTCTTGGCAGACTTGCCATAGTGCGCCTCTTCGGGGAGAGGGGTGGTACGAACAGTTGCGCTCAGTCGCACCAATATTGCTGGCTCCCCTATAGTAAAGCTGATGCAGCCTGCTAACTTGCCCATCATTAACACAGCCTTTACGCGCCTATGGCCTATGCTAGTCACATATACTCGTCACAGTCGTGTTTGGAATTTGGTTGGTTTGAAAGCTGGTGTGCGGGTGCGCAGCTCTCTACGTCACACAGCAAAAAATGGTGACCCCGACGTCATCCGGGCGTACTAGCTTTCCTGTTGAAGAAGAGGTAACCGTCAAACTTTCAACTTTCTGAGGCATAAGCAGATGTCAAGCCTGAAACGAAGCAAACTTTTGCAGTGGATACTAATGACCTACCAGAAAAAGTACTAGAAAGCCATGAATTGCACATATGGACATAAGAAAAAGCACTTGATCACATCATAACTTTGGTCAATTTTAAGTAATGGGAAGAAGTTAACCTTGTAAACTGACCTGATTGGATTCCACCTCGTAGCCCAGTTTTTTCGCGTAGACTGCAGCGAGGGAGTAACTGATTGAGAAAGCAACCAGCGCAATCACGATAATGTCGGTAATCATCGAGCTAGCAATCGATAGGTCGGGTGCACGCGGCACAGGCAAACTTGAAGGGAGGCGAAGAGAGAGGAATAAGATATTAGGAGGCAGAGCTTTTGCTAGGACTACCTGCATCTCGGCTACAGCTGCCGGGTGGGGAACTAGAAGCGTGCTTATTTGTCCTCTCGCTTTGGCCAGCCAGCCAGTCAGCCAGTCAAACAGACAGATTTGGGCGAAGAACTACCAAATGGTGTGATTAGGGCAAGCAGACATGCATGGTATCATTTAATTTACTTTTGTAGACAAAAAAGCAATTCTCTGGCCGATTTCGAACCTTCAGAGATTCTACGATCCCGGCCATATTTCCCCTTTATTTTGGTGCCCTCTCCCCGTCTTAAGCAAGCTCTTTTTTCAGCCGCAAGCCAAACTGCAGTAGGTGTCTGTTTTATAACAACGGGGAATATATTGCAGACGGAAAACTACAAGTTATTGGGCACAAGCGTAACAGCTTGCACTCACTATCACCTACTCAGTTTGCAGTTGAGATTGGCTCTGTTGATAAACCTATTGCGATTGGTTTTATGAGTACTTCATTATTACTAATTATTTGTACTTTTTACAGCAGCGATAATGACTGATCTAGCCGGCCTTGATTATGTCTCGGGTGGTACTTCTCAACGCGTGACTATCCGTGGCAACAGACCTGCACAGTTCAATCCACTCGTTTTGCCAACGCTGGAAGCCGAATATCGACAGTCCAAGAACCACTGCCATGCCCCGACGGGCTGAGTCAAACCAGGTTTTGAACTGACCACTTCTTCGACGTCTCCACTGAGGTAACGCTGTCGGATCCAGGGTCATAACACTGAACTCGTGAGAAGGAAGGCGAAGAGTGTGCCAAACTATGTCAATCATCCTTATCGGATAGTCTGGGATATCCTTGCGACGTTGTCGCAACGAGGACGGACCATCTAATTGGAGACGAAGGTGGTGTACTTCACTCGAAGAACGGTCCTCAAGCAGTAGTGGCAAAATAACTCCAGTTTTCTTTCATTTTCCACGCGCACAACCCTGCATTCACAGCCGTAGAGAAGGACAAGCCATGTAAATGCATGGTACACGCGAACCTTTGTGGCAATGAAGATATCGCGTCTAGCCCATAGGCACTTTTTAAGGTTTGAGAGAATTCGATGAGCTGCATCGATTCGGTAGGCAATGTCATCCTTACTGTGTCCATTCGGAATCAATGCTGCGCCGAGGTACCTGAAACTGTCTACTTCTTCAAGTTGACAACCACTGATCTGGAGAGGTGCCTTCTCTTGGTCAGGGATGCAGACTTCATAATTATATGCCAAACAGGTGCTTATTAAAGGGCCAGACATATGTTTCGCCTATATTCTGCCGCTGCATGACACAGCTGCGAGGGGTTGGGCTCGTCAGTGGATCCCCCTTAAGTTCTTTCAAAACTGGAGTACCTACCATAAAGCGCACAGGGGACGCTGGGGGACCCGTAGCTATACCGTATAGCGGCAGAATACCGACGAAATACAGACCGAAACGTTTAATGGCACCATTCTCAACACAAACATCAAACAACTCACCCACTGGGGACGACACCCACCACCTTGAGGTCGTATTTTGCCTCGAGCTGCATAACGTATGAGATTACGCCACCAAGGACGACCTTGTTGGAAAAAAGGACACAGGTAAGTAGCAGAGAGAGAGAGAGAGAGGTAGACTGGGTTAAAAGAAAGATCATTTAACAAAACCAACGGCTTTTAAATAGCGCCTGGAAGAGCTGACGAAAGATGTACGGACGAAGTGAACATTCGCCAGTGGTGGAGGGACGCTTGAGTGAAATGAGTAAACATGCAGATTCCTTGGTGAAATGGGCACGCTGGCAGCTGTTAGTTTACAGGGGCTGGCCTTCACTTACCAAGGTGGTAGTGGCGGCGATCCGGCTAGTGGCGACCGTGCGGCAGCACA